GAACATCGGCGAGCTGAAGGACCTCGTGGTGCAGACGCTGGACTCCGCCCGCCAGAGGGGGATTGGTTACCAGCCTCGAACGTATCCCTATCCCTAAGATTGACACGCCAAAAGGCGATGACAACTTAGGGATCCGCCCTCAACAATAAGGGAATCCCCAAGATTGGCATCGTGATGAGGAGGTGCCCAGCATAGGGATAGGGATCTGTTCCAGGCTGGTAAACTGGTGGAGGGGCCAGGAGCGGGGAGGAGGGCAGGAGGGGCAGGAGGCTCGTGCGCTCAAGCGATTCAGAAATGCCCAGAGGGGGTCCAGCAGCACCCTACTGGGAGGTAGGCGATTGGACACCTGCTTGTCGTCGTCGCCGCTGTCGAGGCCGCCAGGCCGCAGCCAGCGACCCAGACGAGAAACATTTTTTGTGTTCACCAACAAAGAAGAAAAAACAATAAAAAAATATATATGTTTTTTTGTTCACCGTCCCTGCCCACATGTTTGTTCCGTCGCTTGGCCGCACTACGGCAGGCTCCCGCCATCAAAGGTTGGAGGCCATGCTCACGCGGCGCCGGCCCATTACGGCAGGTTTACGCGAGGCGGCCCCGCCGGGGGCGTCAAGGGTCGGACGCCGTTGGTGGCCCCGAATCGGTCGTTATGGAGCAATCTGGCGATCGAAATGCCGACGATCGCTCAAGGGGATCCTTTTTTATTCACTGTTTTGCCGATCGGCGCGGGCCTTCGCACCCCCCCCCCACCCCCCCTAGAGTAGATCTTGGCTGTTTTTGGGCGCCTGTTTCAGGCAGGTGGAGCCTCCCCCCATAGGACGCATGGCCCCAAACAGTCGCACTAAGCAGACTTCCGGAGCCAGGCACCCCCCCACCCTCCCCCCTTTCCGCCCAATGTCGAATCGCCGAATAAAATTAGCCTGACGGGGGACCCAACCATATGCAGGTGTGAGTACCGCAATTGTGATTCACTTTTTCGGTGGTGATCCCTTTGAGGCAACGAACCGTGCTAGGGGTGTGCCGAAATGAATGGCGTAGTACACAACGCGAACGAAAACGATTGATCTGAGTACGTAGGGAGACTGAGCGCGGGTGAATATGAGCGCGAGTGCGTCTGACTGTGAATCTGCGTGCGAGCGAGTCTACGTGCATGAATTCGAATATGACAAAGCATGGTGTACTTGTATATGAATGTCAATAGTTTGAGAACGACTGCCTCTGAGTACTCGTGACGCTGGGCGTGGCCGCCGCAAGGAGCTTCCCCGGGGCTCCCCGACGACATCGCCCGCGCGCTGCGACGCCAATGTCTGCGCGCCCCCCCGCGAGGATCGCGCCCGCTTCCCCTCCTTTTTTTACTCCGTCTGGGCCCGCGCACTCAAAAGTCCAAGGCTGCGGGCGCAGCGCAGCGCGGAGTCCCCGCGACGCGCGCTGGTCTCCCCGGAGGGGTCCCAGCGACGCGCGCGTGTCGTCCGCTACGCGGAGCAAAGAGAGCTAGCTGGCTAGTTCCCGCGACGCGCGCTGGTCGCCCTGGAGGGGTCCCAGCGACGCGCGCGGGTCGTCCGCTGCGCGGAGCAGAGAGAGCTAGCTGGCTGGGTGATAGCGGGCAAGGCTCTTGCCGCTGGGCAAAGCGACGACGGGCGGGCGAGGCTGTGAGGCGCGATTCATGTGATGGGGTGTACCGACATGGGCGGTGGAACGCTAAGCCAAGCCTGTCTCTGGGGCCACAGGTGGAGTTCCCTGAGGGGCACGATACGTGCCACATCATGTGTGTATATACATTCAAACATACAACCACACAAGCATACCTACCGACCTACCTACACATCTACATACATACGTAATTATGCCCATACATGTAGAGACGTCTATACATATATGTATATATACATCCTCCGATGCCAACCACTTGAGACTACAATTAGAGCTTGCTAGAACTAAAGCGCGTTCGAAGCACGCGCGCGCGGTTCTAGTCGGAGGTTGGGGGGTGAGATCGCAATGGGACGGAGACTCCCAGACGTTTCGTTTCGTTCGCGTCGTGCGTGTAAGCGAGGCGAAGCTGCGTGGGCGCGCGAGAGGAATGAACCCGCCGTTGCTAGGGCGAAATCAAGACAAATGATTCTCCCCCTCCCGCCTGTCCGGCGGTGGCTCGCGGTGTCCCGTGGTGTTTTGTGGTGTCCGCCGTTGCTAGGGCGAAGTCAAGACAAATGATTCTCCCCCTCCCGCCCGTCCGTCCGTCCGTCCGGCGGTGGCTCGCGGTGTCCCGCGGTGTCCTGTCGTGTCCCGTGGTGTTTTGCGGTGTCCGCCGCTGCTAGGGCGAAGTCAAGACAAATGATTCTCCCCCTCCCGCCCGTCCGTCCGTCCGTCCGGCGGTGGCTCGCGGTGTCCCGCGGTGTCCGGTGGTGTCCCGTAGTGTTTTGTGGTGTCCGCCGTTACTAGGGCGAAGTCAAGACAAATGATTCTCCCCCGCCCGCCCGTCCGTCCGTCCGGCGGTGGGTCGCGGTGTCCCGCGGTGTCCCGTGGTGTCCCGTGGTGTCCCGTGGTGTTCCGTTGAGTGAGATCGATAGTGAGATCGATATTCAGATCGATGTGTTGCCCCGTGGTGTCCCGTGGTGTCCCGTTGAGTGAGATCGATACTGAGATCGATACTGAGATCGATACTGAGATCGATGTGGTGCCCCGCGGTGTCCCGTGGTGTTCCGCGGTGTCCCAAAAAGTGGGATCGATAGTGAGATCGATAGTGAGGTCGATGTGGTGTCCCGTGTTGCCCCGTGGTGTCCAGTGGTGTCCTATGGTGTCCCACTGAGTGAGATCGATTGTGAGATCGATAGTGAGACCGGCAGTGAGATCGAGAGGTGTCCCGCGGTGTCCCGTGGTGTCCCGTGTTGGCCCGAGGTGTCCCGTGGTGTCCCGTTGAGTGAGATCGACAGTGAGATCGATCGTGAGATCGACAAGTGTCCCGATGTGTCCCGTGGTGTCCCGTTGAATGAGATCGACTGAGTTAGATGTTGGTTCCCCCTTTCTCCCCCCCCCCACACGCACAACCTCCTTATCACCCGAAGGGTTGTCGTATAGGTATATACATGTTCATGTATGCGTGTATATGTGTATGTATGTTCGCGTGGTTGATCTAGTTACTGGTTCTTGGTTCTGAACGGTGGATGTGATGGATGGGGGCTTAATGAAGGATGTGGCCCGAAGAAGGAGGGGGGCCTTCTCCTTCCCTCGTTGTCCTCACCCTCCTCATTGTCTCTAGTATCCTCCTCTTCCCCCCCTTGCTGAGTTTCGCTCCCCATCGTCTTTGTCCTTGCTGTTGGCCCCCTCGTCCTTCTTCCCCGTGCCCCCTTTCATGCACCTCCTTCGGTTGCCCCGCCTGCTCCTTTCCGTCCCTCCCCGGCGCGCAGGAGACGAATGGCGTTCTGGGACACATTCGTGCAGAGTTGCGCGCCCACGTCTACAAGGCGATCGAGCACGAGGCCCTGATCCCCCCCTCTCGTTCCCCCTTTCCCTCCTTCTCGTCAGCATCTTCCCCCTTGCCCCTCCTCCGAGCACATCAGCCTTCATTCGGCCTCGTCATCCTCCTTGTCGTCCTCCTTTTCCTGCCGCACCTCATCCTCGGACTCCCCGTCTTCCCATCTTTGCATTTCCTGTCCTCCTTCCCATGCTCCTCGGGCTTACCCTCGTCAGTCTCCTCCCTCTTGTTCCCTGGGCCTGGCCGTCCTTTCACTCCCCATCCTCCTTTCCGTTCCTCCTCGTTCCCTTCCCCCTCGGGCCGATCATCTCCCCGCTTCAACATCATCCTCGCCCTTCCTCCTGAGCCTCATCTGCCCCATGTGTACCCTTCCGTCTCCTCCCTTTCTGCTCCTCCTTCTGATCGGCAGTTCTACCTCAGCGTGAGCAAAACCTCTGACCACGACCGCGAGTCGGAATCGAGCAATACGGTGTCGAGCTCGTCTCCTCACTGTCCGCCGGGTACCGACGACCTGCCACGGTGGCCAGTCCTGCCCCAGGCACGTCGAGGGCACTGCCGCATTCCGCGCCTACGCGCCCTTCCTCGCCGCCCTCTCCCTCCCCTCTCCTTTCCGGTCAGCTCCGGTCGGCTCTGGCTCCGCCCCGCTGCTTTCCACAGTTCTGGGCGTGTTTCTCTACTGCTTGGGGCAGAATGGGCATGAAGGCCCCCGACCCCACCTCCCCCCCCAAGTGTAACGCCCCCCCCCCCCAGTGCGCTTCGGGCACCGTCGCCGTGCGCATCGGGCACACGGCGGGGGGGAGGTGTTACATTATACGCCCCCCCCCCCGGCCCCCCCCCTATAATGCCCGTTGTCGCCGAGAATACAGAAATGCGCTCTATTCGATGCTCGTACTACTCTCATCTCGCCCCTGATTCTGTCCGCAACATGTCCCACCCTCTTCCTTTTTTTGTTGCACACGCATTGGGTTTCAACATGTGAAGTATACCTTACGTGTTTTAGTCCTTCAGACCCGTGTTCTTCAGACTTGTGTTCGCGTTGCAGCGTTGGTCTCGTTCCCGCCCTTTGGTCAGTCAAAGTCGCGCCTCCCCTGCAGCGGTGGTCTCATTCCCGCGTGTTCAGTCCTTCTGAGTGGTGATTTGGCGGTAGCGCTGGCCTTCCAGCATAGTTTCCCAGCTGCACCGTTCATGCAGACATGGTATGTTTGTGAATGTTGTGGCATGCACGTCTATTGTGCGATGCCAGGCCTTGGTTTGCAATGCTGTAGTACGTAACGCTTGAGTACGCAGTGTTTTGCCATGCAAGGGCATGCCGTGCAATGTTATAATCTGCCGCTATGCGGTTGCATGCCTTGCGCTGCAATGCTATGATATGCAATGCTTCACTGCGCAATTCTATGCTGGGGTGTGCATCTTGTGCCCTTGTGGATCCTTGTCTTCTTTGGCCTCCGACTGCAAATAGAGAGGGGATCAACGCAAGGGAAGGGATGGGAGGGAGGGGTAATCAATAGCCGGCCCCTCTGCGGTTGAGCGGGAGTTTCTGTGTATAGGAAATGGGGCGCGGTGGCATCCAGCCCCTCCCGCTCTCATGCTGGCAACCTCCACCTTCTCCTCCACATCGTCACAGGACATCGCGTGAGGTCCCTGGAGGTTGTTCCTCCTCCGCCTCCTCCTTCCTCTTCCTCCCCTCCTCTTCCTCCTCCACCTCCTCCTACTTTCCTTTCCCTCCACCCCTTCTCCTTACGGATAACTCTTCCCTGTCGCACCCCGAGGCTGGTCGAAAGGGCTGGCCGGGCGTTTCGCCTGATGCTTCCTCACCGCTTGTGATCTTGAAGCTGCGAATCTGCAGGAGTCCTGCGGCTGGACGACGGCCCGTAATCAATCTGTGGTTCTCGCTTCCGCGCGGCACAGCTCGTCCGAGAAGTTTGCGCGAGCTGCACGGATGAAGGGCTCCCGTGTTCAACGCGCGGTTCTCGCTGTCGCGCCGCGCACCATTCGACTTTAAGAGTGTGCAGCCGTTTCAAGGACTGGGTAGTCGAAGGCCAGACTGTCAGATTGGATTGGGCCCCAAGGGCCAATCTGGCCCGGCCAAACTGGATGATTTGGGTTATTCGCCAGAGTGGATTCGCGTTGGCTCCCTCGCCAGATTGCCCCCGTTTGCCAGATTGGGCCTGCCAGATTGGCGCCAGATTGGCTTCGACTACCAGCATTCGTCTCAAGAGTGTGCAACCGTTTCAAGGATTGTCATAGTCAACGTGCCAGAGATGGCGTTTTGGCATGACGTTGGAGCGTCAGGGCGCAACAGTCACGCTGTTTCGCGCTGTTGAAGTCCTGGGACTGGTTCGATGGCGCGCTCCAGGATCGTCAAGACGCAAGAGCAACAGTGAATCGCGGCGTGGATGTCGCAGGAATGGCGTTATGGCACACTTTTGGATGTTCAAACCGATGTGTGTTCAACGGGACACTTCCCCCAGTGAAAATGGATCCGTGTAGGGGCCTACGAAGAGGGAACTTGGAGGAAGGGTTTATTGAAATATCGTTGTTGAGTCTTGGGCTTACACTGGTCCTGCTCCTCCTCCCCGATTGCTCCCCCTCTCCTCACTGATCCTCCTCTTTCGCCTCCCTCTTCTTCTTCTTCTTATTCTTCTTCTTCTCCTGCTCCTCCTCCTCCCTTCCTCCTCCTCCTCCTCCTTCTCCTCCTTCTCCTCCCCTCCTCCCTCCTCATCCTCCCCTCCTCTGTCCTCCTACGTCCTCCTCCATGCTCATCCCCGTCATCGTCCTCGGGTGCCTCCCTCCAGGGCCTGGGAGGGGCGATTTGGCGATGCTGTGAGGGTGTCTCGAGCGGGAGAGCCCCATCTTGGAAGACGCGCAGGTCGACGTTTTTGCGAGGAGGTCTCGATCGAGCGAGAGCCCCAGACTGGGAGGCGAGGGCGCCGGTTGGACTTCGTCGCCACATTTCCCAGATATCTCGGAAACTTCGAAGAGGGCCTCCTCCTCCTCCTCCTCCTCCTCCTCCTCCTCCTTCTCCCCTCCTCCTCCTCCCCCTCCCCCTCCTCCTCCTCCTCCTCCTCCTCCTCCTCCTCCTCCTCCTCCTCCTCCTCCTCCTCCTCCTCCTCCTCCTCCTCCTCCTCCTCCTCCCCCTCCCCCCTTGGGGAGTCTGGGGGGGCGGTGTTTTGAAGATGTCCCACGCGAGGGCGCCGGTGTGGAATTCGTCGCTGGACGTCCTGCAGTTCCCGGGAGCGGAAGAAGGGGGCGGGTTTTCTGAGGACGTCTCACGCGAGGGCGCCGGTTTGGAATTCGTCATGGGATGTTTTGGATTTCCCAGAAACGGAGCAAGAGGGGCCTCTGAGGGCCTCCTTGGGGAGGCTCGGGGGGCCGGTTGTTTGAAGATGTCCCACGCGAGGGCGCCAGTTTGGAACTCGTCGCCAGATTCTTCGGACTTCCTGGAAACGGACTAGGGGACCTTATTGAGGCCTCCTTGGGGAGGCTCGGGTGTCCCACGCGAGGGCGCCAGCTTGGAATTCGACCTGGTTTTTCGAGAATTCCCAGACACGATGCACGGGGGACTTCTGAGGGCCTCCTTGGGGAGGCTCGGGGGACCGGCTTTCTGAAGATGTCCGACGCGAGGGCGTTGGTGTGGAATTCGTCGCTGGGTTTCCTGGTCTCCCCGGACATGGAACAGAGGGGTCCTTTGAGGCTTCCTTGGGGAGGCTCGCGGGGCCAGTTTGCTGAGGGTGTCCCACGCGAGGGCGCCGGTTTGGAATTCGTCACCGGATTTCCCAGATCTCTTGCAGACGGAACGCGGGGCCGGTTGGCGGCCCCACGCGCCAGGGGTCAGGATGATGTGAGTGTTCAGGTCAAGTTCCCTCAAATGAGGTATGAGGTCACCTTGATATCCGACGCGGCGAAAGACTTGCAACATCGTAAATAATCACCCCTGGAGCCCCAGACCCCATCTTTCTGCGTCATTATTCGAGCCCGATCGATCTGTGAGGGTCCCGGTGACAGAAAGAAAGGCAAAAACAACGGAAGCCTCGAAAACATTGAGACGCCAGGATCTCAGGGCAGATGTGACGCCAGCGCGCCCAGCTTGTCGCCCCCCTCTCTCTCGGCACCCAAATCCGCTTGTAGAAGGGATGACAATCAGCTCCAAATGCGTCGAATTTCCCAGACAGACCCTGCCCATCCAATCCTCCAAAACTTAAGAGGAACTCTAAACTATTTAGAGGATTTTAAGCCCTCTTAAAAAACGAAGCGGCCCTACAACATATTTAGAGGACTCTGTGGTTTGTGAAAAATCTCTGGAATATATAGAGGATTTCTGATTTCTGTGTTTCTCTACGACGAGGAAGCGATTATGTCAAGGTGTCACATACATCTACGAGCATGTTGCACACCCCGCGCACACCAGACACCCAAAGGAATGGGCGGATTCATAACGCTTGCGCACTAGACGCCCAAGGAACCGGCGGATTCTGAACATTTGCTAGACAGGATGGATACGACACAGTTGGGTGAACCCCTCACACGGTTCATGGCCCCATAGGGAGCTCCACCGAAGGCCCCAGTGGCAGGGTTCATTTCGAGTTTCATCGTTCTCTTACTCATATTACTCCTCCCTTCCGTCCCCTACTCGTCCTTATCTTAGAGCACTGGTGCTAGCACTTGTCATCATCCTGCTCTTCCTGCTTCTCGTTCCTCTTTCTCCGTCGCGGATGTCTCCCACCGCGCGGTGCCAAATGGCGAGATGACACAACTATGTCTGGTACAGTGCTGCGTAGTGTCGTGCACGGCGTGCTACCAACCCAGTGCGGTGCCGTGTTGGGATGGTCTCGTGATCACCGCCCCCCGTTGGAGGCGCCAGAGGGGGTTGGGCGCGTGCCGTCGAAAGTGGTGGAGGAGAGGTTGGAGGAGGAGTGGAAGGAGGAGTGAAGAGGAGGAGGATGAGGAAGGGAGGAGGAGGATGGACGGAGGGGGGGGGGATGTGGAAGCCTCGTCGGAAGGTTC